CTCATTACATTACAGTTAGTAATTGTAGTTTTATAACAGTATACTACGTTTAATGTGTGACTCAGAATCATAAAATGATCTGTCTCTTAACTCCGAAATGACAGTAAATTCATGCTTTAACTTCAAGGCTTTTTTCTCCGTTTTCCTATTTATTATCTCTCTTTGCTCATTTAATACGGATCAAGTTGTGCTGTTCTTGGAAAGTAGAATTACGTGATGACATGATTGGTTTTCATAATTTCCTCTCCAGTACTATGTGACGCTTAATCGCCCGCAGTTTTTAGAACCAAACGGCACTTGATGCAGTTTATTCTGCATCCCCAAAGAAGAACATAAGGTTCCTTTAACTCCAGGCCAGCTATGCTTTGTTAGAAATGGTACTTCTGATGATATTTTAAATCAAGGAGACTTCTGTTAATATTTTTACCTCTGCAAACCTATTTGCTTGTTATTTACTACAAAAAACGAATTTATTTACAGATGTGATCCCCTTCTATGTACTGGCTAGAGGAGAATTTGCGCTAGAAGCATACCAAAGAGGATTACAAAGTGGCAGGACCTTTGACAAACGAACAAAGATTTTATTGATTGGTCAGGATAGTGTTGGTAAAACAAGTCTTGGAAAAAATCTCCGAGGTGAAAATTTCAATCCACGTGAACCCAGCACTGATGGAGTGAAAATGATGCCCGCTGTGAAGAATGCAGGCCTAGGAGCATGGAGAAATCCTGCCTTTCTTGAATCCACAAGTCCCTTTGATTTCAAATGTGCTGAACTGGTCACAAAGGAGTTACTGAGCAGCTCTCCGAAAGTCAAGGATGCTGAACTAGGAGCACGGAGAAATCCTGTTTCTCTTGAATCCACAAGTGCTAAACTGGTCGCAAAGAAGTTACCAGACAGCTCTCCGAAAGTCAAGGATGCTGGTTCAGGAGCGATGAGAAATCCTGCCTCTCTTAAATCCACAAGTACGGATGACCCTAAATCTGCTGAACTGTTCTCAAATGAGTTACTGAGCAGCTCTCCGGAAAAATCAAATTCAGCTTTACAATTCACTGAAGAATCATTCAGAGATGAAAGCACGAAGGCAAAGAAAGCCAAAGAGGAGTCTGTTGTCAAAGAGTCAAGAACAGAAGAACTTAGAGGTGATGATCTCACACATGAAGAAGTTTATAGAAATACAACAGAATCTAAAGGTAAGTTGACAACACTAATAAGAAAGAGTTTTCGTTCAATATTATGTACTTATTGACTAATTTGGACGGTCAAATGGGAAGCTGTTTGGCTTGAAGTCATGAAGGTCCGAAGTGCAGCGATCAGGTCTGCGTGTCATGACCAAGAGAGGAAGAGCCAAAAAGGTGAAAGTAAAAAAGACTTATACTTGTTCAATAAGTGAGGTTAAGATCTGGACCATAGTCTACATAGTGCAAAGCTGGACTGCTGTAGAGTCTGTCAACAGTCAATTGAATGCAAAGGCCCAGTAATGAGATGCTGGGGAAAAAGGAATATTTTACCTTGCATAATCAACAGTGCAGCAGCAGACTTAAAAAGTCAGAGTTCGAAAATCAAACAAAAAAAAAAAGAAACAAACTGTCCGGCCCATGGAGTTGTAGGAGCGCCACACCAATTCAAAGTAAGGTAGCAGTAAAATGAGTAAGGGCCAAAAAAAATTTCTCACTTACTCGTACAGCTGTTTGAGTTTTCTCACAGCTGGCATGAGTACCAGCAGTTGGAGTATTTATGTAATCACTTTCACCAGAGTGTGGTGAGGGTCGCACAACAGAGCGAGGCTCCAAATTAACTGCGCCCAATATTCCACCCGTCCCACCCCAGGGGATAACATCCATCAGACAGTAATCTCGTGTGTGGGAAATTAACGTCTCCTACCCCAACCCTGCGGGAGACGTGACCTCCATTTATTCGTCTCTATCCGAGAAGACTAGAATATCTAACCATTTCTTGATGTTATAGAAAGGTAGCAAATTCTTCTCAATTATTTTAAGACCCTGAGTGTTGGTCCGGCCGGGGCTCGAACCTTCGACCTCCCGCACAACAGTCCAGCGCTCTATCCATTGAGCTAACCGGAATCATAATAGGCTATTTGACTGATGACCATTTTTTTTTCTTTACTTCGGCGATTAATTTTCACAGAAGTCAATTAGAAGTTCCTGGAGTAAAAAAACTCTTGATTTAATAGATGGTAACAAGAAATCTTTTATGTTTTTGCCAGCGTTCAACATTTTAAACAATCATAAATTGTGAGTTAGATGGTATCTGTTAGGAAGAATTACACTCTTTAACTGTCCACTTTCTAGTGTTTCAGTTAAATAGCTTTTTAGTGATTGAATGGAAGGAGAAAATCGAATACGTTTTCTCGACACACACTGCAGGAATGATGATAATAATATTTATAATGGTATGAATTGGTGATAATGATTTATCTTTAGAACAATATAATTATTGAACACGAAGAAAATCCTAAGTAATCTCAACGCGTATGCTAAAGTAAAAAAGTTGTGTCCCACATATTGGCTGATATTTACCC